CGCCTTTACGGAGTGCCCGAGAGAAACGAGGGGAATCCTATCCCTGCAGTACTTTATCGATGGCATCCGGGATCCCGAAATACAGAAGGCTCTACGAATGGCGGATGTTGAAGATTTAAAAAGCGCTCTAGTGTACGCCATGAAATTCGAAGCAGCCCAGCAAGCAACTCGTAGAGACCGCCACCCAATCAGAGCTGCTCAAGTTCAAGAGCCAAGGGATCAAGTCACTGTTCGTCTAGACGATATAACCAGACAAATTGAATGCCTTGAGACGAAATATCAGTGACAAGAAATCGATCTTAAAATGTTGGAACCGTGGACCTGAAGGACACATTCGAAGGAACTGCAGAACTCCCCAGGGCACGGATGTTAAGACCGTTCCTATCAAGCAGCAGGGAAACTAATTTGTGGCCATCTCGCGGGGCGGAGGTCGCCATATAATGAAAAGCCCCAGTTTAAAGCGCTTCAGATTTCTGCAGTGAGAGGCAGCAGTAATTGACTTTTCATAATAGGACATATTAATGGAGTTCTCTGCAACATGACGATAGATACCATCATCCGAACGTTACCATCATCCGAAAAGATTTGGCTCAACAACTGGGAAACAAACTTATCTGGACGCCGCCCTGCGTTACCTTCCAGACTGTGTCCGGTGAGAAGATCGACATCGACGGAAAAGTAAATGTTAACATCACGTTTGGAAGTGCCGCTTACCATCACACGACATATGTAGCACAGATCACTGATTCTTGCATACTCGGATTGGACTTTCTAAGGAAATACAATTTTTCCTTGGACTTTAAAAATAACGAATTGCATTCTACATCTGAGGATATAGCGTTATTTGGAGTTAATGATGAAGAAGTTAAATCTGTCCATAAAATCATAGCACAAGACAATATCACAAGACCGGCAAGAACAGAAATTTTACTTCCTGGATCCATAGCCGAGAACAGAAATTTCCACTACGGCATCACAGAATATCCAAATAACTGTAATAGCCCAAAAGGAGTACTAGTAGCTTCAACACTCGTCGAACTATCCAGAACGGTTATCCCGGTGAGAGTCGCCAATGTAACTGAGAAGGTGAGAATTATTAAGAAAGGTGAAGTGGTTGCAGCTGTACTCCAGTAACCACCGTTGAAAGAAAGAGTAACATCCAAGAATCCGTGTCTTCAGAAAGCATTACATCAGAGTTACTTCAGAATGCGCAATTAAACGATGAAGAGAAGAGTGCAGCCGATCTCGTCATTAAAGATCTTCAAGTTGTTTTCTCCCGCTCGTCTTCTGACGTGGGTCGAACCAGTTTGACACAACATAGAATCGATACCGGCCATCATCCCCCCATCAAGCAACATCCAAGACGTCTACCGTTTGCTAAACAGGAAGAGGTACGAACACTTTTAAAGGATATGGAAGAAGGCGATGTCATCGAACCTTCAGCAAGTCCATGGGCATCTCCATCGTCCTAGTCAGAAGAACGACGTCAACAAAATTTTGCGTCGACTATCGCCCGGTTGAATGAGGTTACGAAGAAAGACAGTTACCTCTTTCTAGAATTGACGACATTCTAGACACTCTTTCTGGAAGCAAGTGGTTCTCAACACTTGATTTAAAGAGTAGTTATTGGCAGGTAGAAATACACCCTGAAGACCAAGAAAAGACGGCATTTACTACGGGTCAAGGGCTTTGGCAATTCACGGTGATGCCGTTTGGACTGTGTAATGCGCCGGCAACATTCGAACGACTTATGGAGACTGTTTTGAAAGGCCTTTCCTACGAAGCCTGCCTGATATACCTGGACGACATCATCATCGTCGGAAAGAGTTTTGAAGAACATCGAGAAAATCTTAGAAAAGTGCTTCAGAAACTGAAAGAGGCCAATCTGAAGCTGAGTCCCGCTAAATGCAAATTGTTCCGAAAGGAAGTGACTTACCTGGGACATGTCATCTCTGCAGAAGGTGTGTGCACGGATCCTGAAAAGGTGTCAGCCGCTAAATCCTGGAAACGTCCCGAAAATGTCCATCAGTTGAGAAGCTTCCTAGGGCTTTGCACCTATTATAGGAGATTCGTGAAGGACTTTTCTTCCATCGCAAGACCCCTTCACAAACTGACAGAGAGCAAGCAAAGATTCTTGTGGACAAAGGAATGCGAAGATGCATTTAACAACTTAAAGGAAGCTTTAACATCTGCTCCAATCCTGACGTATCCTCAGCTCGACAGACCATTTATTCTCGACACGGACGCGAGCAATGAAAGTGTCGGTGCTGTTTTGTCTAAAGAAATAGACGGCCAAGAACGTGAAGTAGCTTACTGGAGCAAGTGCCTGTCTAAACCGAAGAGGAATTACTGTGTTACTGGGAAAGAGTTGCTCGCCATAGTCAAAGCTGTAGAGCATTTCCATCATTATCTATACGGGAGAAAATTCCTCCTCCGCACGGACCATGCCTCATTGGCCTGGCTTTTAAATTTCAAGAATCCTGAGGGTCAAATAGCCAGGTGGATACAGACTCATCTCTATCCATCACTATCATGACATCACTATCATGACATCACTATCCGTCATCGTAAGTGATCATCACACGGGAACGCCGACGCCCTGTCTAGTCGACCTTGCCCGGAAAGCTGCCGATATTGTTCCACGGTGGAAGCGAAATACGAGCTGCTGACTCCGGTTGCAAGACAAATTACAACATCAACATCGGCTGATCGAGACCCGTAGAGTGATGATGAAGTCAGGAAAGACTAGATGGAAGACCGCGACATTAAACCCATAATTGATTTAATGGAGTAATCAAACAGAAAACCTACTTGGCAGGACATTTCTATCTGTAGTCCTACAACAAAACAATACTGGGCACTCTGGGATTCACTTCAAATTCGAAACGGCGTCTTATACCGGAAATTCGAATCGGATGATGGGGAAGACGTTCCGATGGCAACTGATACTTCCAAGATCCTGGAGTCCTTAAAGAACTACATAACAGCCCTACAGGAGGTCACTTTGGAATTATGAAGACCTTACAGAGAGTTCGTGAGAGCTTTTACTGGAACAATGCAAAGGATGACGTGCAAAAGTGGTGCCGATCTTGCGATGCCTGTGCAGGTCGGAAAGGACCGAGGAATCGCAGCCGAGGCAAGCTGCAACGTTACAACGTAGGTGCGCCGTTCGAACGTATCGCCTTTGACATCTTGGGACCTCTGCCCCGAACTGCTGATGGCAACAAATACATACTCGTTGTCATTGATTACTTCACCAAGTGGCCTGAAGCGTATCTTATTCCTGATCAAGAGGCTGTTACAGTCCCTGAGGTGATGATACAGCACTGGATTTCCAGGTTCGGAGTGCCTCTTCAGTTACATTCCGATCAGCGAAGGAATTTTGCCCGAAATTACAGTCATCTTGGGATGGTCCGTACACAGTGCTAAACATGCTGAACGTCGTCGTTGTTCGAATCCCTAAGTAATGGAACTCTAAACCTAAACTCGTTCATTACGACAGGTTAGCTCATTAATATGGCCATAGTAAGTAGTGTAAATAATTGTAAATAGGTGTTAGACCATGGTCCTTTTTCTTCTAAATGCGTATTCGATTTGACTTGTATTTAGTATTTAATTTGTATTTAGTATTTGGTAGTATTTGAATTCTTTAAGTTACTTATTGCAGTTATTGTTTATGTTGTTTGTAATGTAAGGTTTATTATTGTAATGCTTATTATAGCATTTATGCTTACAGTTGTAAGTTTGGCTTCATGTCCAGGGATTGTACTGCCCGGACGTGCAGTCCTTGGGAAGGGGGCAGTGTTATGAATTTGGTATTTAAAAGCTATGTTAGTTCATTATAAATTAAATGGTTTTATTTCCCGCGCAGTGCAGCGCGTGACGAATATTAAAAGAAAGCTAAGCCGGAAAATTGAAAATACAAGAGCGCGTGCATTAAACATTTAATAAATATCTCTTTTTGATTTCTAGAAAGTACTAGAAAATTCTCACGCGTGATTTTAAAATCTTATAAAAGGAGGAAAACATCTCAGTTTGTAGTAATTACTTAGTTTGTTGTTGTTTAGAAAACTGCTCTTGTTGACTGTAGCGAATTCGCGGATTAGCTTTCTTTAGCTGTTTTGAATTACGTTCTATTGGACATTTGAGTAGTTAAATAACTACTGTGAGATATTGTATATGCATGATAATTTGAGGAAATTTAAGCATTTTTGTTGAGATAATAATAAATTTTTGTTCATTTTTCATCGAACTTGTGCATTCATTTCGTAACGAACCCGTACGCATGCAACAATATATATAAAGCTAAAAGCTATAGCAAACTGCTAAACTTCTGCTTAGACCTGAAAGCTTTTGTACTAAGGTTTTGAATCAGAGCTTAAATTATGCTGAGCTTCTCTGCTTTTGAGATAAAGCATACGAATAAATGACTTTTAGTAGTAACCACATTCTCACTCAAGTTCTTAGAAAAGAGGAGAAAAAGCAAATGCAAAAAGGCATGTAGTTCACACATTTCCTATCTCTTTTTTTTTTAAATCCTTCACCTATTAATGTGGGGGATGGAAAAGTCAGTTATCCTTCAACTGCCTCATGCAGTTAGCACATTGATAAGACCCCTGTTATTTCAATTTCATGCAACTAGTACACCACTGAAACAGCACCTCAATAGCTTCTTCATGGAATAAACGTATTGACTATTTTATAAAAACACTTTTCTTAGCAGCTGGAGAGATGGCAAAAAATCATAGAACAAAATAGTGCTTTATGTGATTCAATGATTATTTTTTTATGCTTTTGTACTGCTTCATTTATATTTACCATGAAAAAACTGCAGAAGTTTTTAGATGACTCAACATTTAATTTCTTGATTTTTTAAAAATTAAATTAAATATGGAAAATTCTTTTATCGGCAATAAAAATGTTTTAAAAAAAGAATAAATATGCAGAAGAATGTAGAAATAAGAATGCTGTTAAATTACAAATAAAATAAATACAGCATACATGTTTATTACAAGTTTAATATAAATAAATATTAACAAAACTGTACAAATTTCTTATGGTATATATATTAATCATCCTAGCTCCTTCAAGCCATATCTTTTTAAAACTTCGAGTGTCCTTTCAAATGAACTGTAAAAACAATTACAGATTTTACAATAATATTCATACATATTAAAAAAGTGATTCCAATTTTATGTAATTACATTAGATCTGCAATAAAAAAACTGATTCAATGTTATACAAATACTATCAAAACTAAACATTAGGATATAACATATTCCAGCCTAAAAGGAAAACATACTTCATAAAATTGTTTTTATATACCGTATTTGCTGGCATATAAGACACACCTTTTTCCCTTTGAAAATAGGTCAGAAAAACGGCATGCGTCTTATACTCAGTTTTTTATTATATGTGATTTTTTTTCTTCTTTCCTTGTAGAGTGTGGGAATATTACAGTTACGTAGCGTTCAGTGAATGTGCATGTGCTGCCATCGACGATCACAGCTGGGTTTGTTTAAACTTTCCATTTTTTGTGAACGACTTTTTAAGTGTGTGAAATTTCTACTGTTCAATTTCCTTAAATGTGTTGGCAAGTTATGGCTCGAAAAAAACGTCAACATAGCATACAAGCTATGTGTGATTGCGTATGCTAAAGAACATGGAAACAGGGCTGAACATGGAAGCAGGGTACAGAGGACAATTTGTTATATGAGGACTCAGATGCTGATTTAAAAGAAGTTTCAAGGGACTCTTCATTTAGCTCTGGAGATTAGTGTCTGGGTATTGACAAAGAATATTAAAAGTGTCCTTTCCTATTTGCAAAAAGTATTCTTTGTATTTGTGGCATTACTTTATATTTAAAATACTGTAAATTCATTATAATGATCAGTAATAAAGTTTTATCCTTCAAAAATGTGTATAAAAGGGGGTGCCTCTTATAGGCTGGAAAATACGTTAACATATTGCATAAAAATGTAAAAGAATATCAAGTTTGATATATTCCCATACATAAGTATATTTTTGTACAACAACAGAAAGTATGCACAATTAATCTAAGAATATTTCTAAAATATCCATGAAGTCCATTTTTAATCTGTACAAAGAAACTACTCCCCTGAGTAGCATATTTATAAATGACGTGTAAATGCACAGACAAATTGCCCTTACACTCAATTTTTCCAAATATGGCTGATCTTCCTCAAATGGATTCATTTACTCGGACTGAAGATTTTACAAAACACATAATTTCTAACGTTTTTATTTAGTTCATACATTAAAACAGTATCATATTCTTAGAGAATCTTAAACATTTTTAAATGATGGCTGGTTAAATTCAAAGGCAAAAGAGAATGCACTCAAAAATATTTCTTTAACACATTTTAAAATGAAAAAGTTAAATGATTAAATAAGCTGTTAAAGCAGCAAAGAATTTATTATTTTAATTCACTTATTTTGATACATATTTCACAGTAAAAATACTCTTAATTTATTAAAATTTCACAATATTTATGTACTTTATTTTTGATTTCACTAAATATTAACAGGGCAAAGAAGGCAAATTACTGTACCACTCACTAAGTCTTTCTGCCTACAAGGTGAAAAATCAAGCTAAGGTGTGAAGAAAAGGGGGCAATTTTGTGTGACAACAGTGTTGCCAGATCTTGTGATTTTTGGTAAATTTGTTATTTTTGACAAGCCTGTGCAACTGAAATTTATGTGTATGCGATTTTGCGGAAGTTTTGCTACTCCATCATTCCTTGTACTACTTTTTCAGATTTTTAACATTCCTTAATATATCATGAAACACTTATATATTAAAACAATTAATGTATCTATTTAAAATTAACTTATAACAAATAAGAAAAAAATTAACTAGTCTAACAAATAAAAGTTGGCATCTGGTAATCCTGAGATCTTAGAGCAGGTGCACACTGTTTTCAATGACAGTCCCTAGTGATTTCACCTGCCTGACTAATTGCTTTGTTTAATCGTTAAAGTTTGCCTATAAGTAATGCAAAGGTAGAAAAGTTTCGGAATTTCAAAATTACATACTTCAAATGAAGATGTCACTGGGAGAAAAATAAATCCGCTCTGTTAACTTTGTACCCTCGCCACCCATGCATACATGTAGCTAAGATACTTAAAGAAATGAAGACAAGAAACCAAGAAAATGAGCTAGATGATGAAGAGCTATTAATTTCCTTTTAAGTGTAAAATAAAAAATGCATATATTTATAAGATTTATTTTCCTTCTATGTATTAGTAAATCAATCAAGAATGTTATGATACTATGCTCTGTAATATATTTTATTTTAGTTCAAGTACTAGTAAATTTATTTTAAAATTAACAAAAATTTTATCTGAATAATTATATGGATCAAACAAATTGAAATAATTGAATGTGAAAAAGTTGTATTTCAATGACATTAAATACAATATCTTCACAGTACAGAAGAACAAGCCTACAGTAGATTCTTTCAAGGTAACTACTTCCGATAATGATCTTTATTTAAAATAATATAAATTTACATTAGCTCTATAAATGACTGACTCCACAGAAATCAAAATTATCTGGAATCATGAATCTTAAGAGAATATTTACTGTGTTTGTTCTATAATATATTTTATTCCAAATATTAGGTTAGTTTTAAAATGAAATATTTTCAGAACTGATACATACAATATTTATGTACTTTAAAGCAAAATAAAGTTAAAACTTTAGAAGCTAAGACATGAAAGTCTATTGATAATTGGAATAACTATCTTAGGGGTTGGACAAAAATATGGAAACACCAAAATAAAAACATATTGCTGTGTTGCTGTGACTAATATGGTGTCGGGAAAACTGCTGGCATTCAGAACATCCTACAGACTTTTCAGAATGGATAAATAGAGGTCTTGCATGTTTTGGAAGGGAATCTTGTACTATTCTTCCTATAAAGCATTGGCAAGTTCCATTAACAATGAATGGTGGTAGATAGCACTCACACAGATTTCTCTCCAAAACAGCCAACAAAGGCTCAATAATATTGATATCTGGTGACTGTGCTGGACATGGTAGATCTGAAAGGTCACCCTCTTCAGAAAACCAGTCCTGGATGATGTGAGCTGAGTGATCTGGAGCTGTCGCCTTGGAATACGGCATCACAACTGGGGAACAAAATTCCTTCCATAATCCTAGGCAGTAATGTGACCTTGCACAGTAATGTTGAGTGACATCGAATATCATGATATGGCTGCTCAAACTATGACGAGCCACCTGCCATGTTTCACTCTCAGCAGTAAACAATCTCTATCATGTGCTTGGGACAATCTTCTCCAGACATAAACTTGTCCAGAAGTTGAAAACCATGTGAAGCAAGATTTATCCAAGTGAGTATTCCACTTTTAAAACAGTCTAGGTATTAGGACTTTGGCACCACTTTCTCCTCTTACAGCCATTTTGATCACTGATGAGTGGCTTCTGAATTCAGCTCACCCAAAAATAGCCTGTTTATAGAGCTCCCTTTGTGCTGTTTTGGTGCCAATAGGTCTGTGAGTGTGACTTTCAGTTCAGCAGCCAATTTTGAAGCTGTAGTTCTCTTACTTTTCATCCCAATCCTCTTCAATGATTGTCTGTCATGATCACTGAAGACACATTTTTGTCCATGCTGTGATTTAGTGGATGCGGTTTTTTCCGGTTTTGTTTTAAGTGAAAACACATCAAGTTCTTCCCATTGTAACAGCTTTAAATAATATTAAAATCTTGTAGATTAAATAATTTAATTAGATGAACATTTAAGGTATTTGTGAATGGCAATATTTGAAACCAGACTCGAGTGCCTCGTGCGACTCTCGCACGAAGAATGTAATTTATTTTTAAATGATAGAATGTGTTTTCTCTTCTTGTTTGTATGTCGCCATTTTTTTGAGTGTTAAATAAAAGTTATTGCTGTGTTCCATCATTGGAGTTGCTTCATTTCGCCAAAGAAGTATTACACCATGTACCTAGGAATATGTTTTCTTAAAAATTTTTTAAAGAATTATACAGATATTGTGCACAATTAACAACAATTAACATTATATATAAAATTATATTATGTAATATACTACCATTATTATAGATTCATTTTCTTTTTCATGAAGCATCACATATTGTTAGGGTTGCTGCCAATTAGTTAGATTTTGCACCAATGTTTATGTTAGGCACTCGGTAACCTCCCTTTAACAGAGAAGTCCTACATTTTAAAGTGTTAATTTAATAGTTTATATGAAACTGTTAAGCTTTCTTAACAATTTCATGTAAACTATTAAATATTTTTTTTTAATTTGAAACTTTCCTATTTTACATTATGCCCAAAGGAGAAATTTTTTTTTCATTTACACACGTTTAATTACACATGTTTCAAGAGCATTTGGGCTAACGCCCTTTTGCGTTAAAAATGTTTAAAAACAGCATATTTTCAGAATTTCCAACAGAAGTCTCCCGTGCTGAAGACAAAAATGTTTTATTCCATATAGTGTTGCCACTGCTCACTTTAAAATCATCGAGTTTTTTAATCAAAAATCCACTAAAGTTTCAAAAATATGAAGTGAATAATAAAACAAATTCAAAATTCAGGCTTCCAGGTGGAAGACTACATTAAAAATTTGATGGCTCTGGGTATTTTTTTTTTTTTTCATAATGCGAGAAATATACATACATACACGCAAATTTTTCATTATTTAATTTCTTTAAATATAATACAGGGTGATAATATTTGGTGGCGACAATTTGAAAAGTGGTACAGCCGTTTATAGTGATTCAATACAAAATGTCGTTTTGAGATTAATAGCCTTCTTGGCTATCACCTCTATGGGCTATAAAACAGAAAATAAATAATAAAAATTAAACAAAAGACAAGTATGTTACTTTACCATCCACTCCTTATCACTCTGAAAAAGCCCTTCTGTGAGAGGTCTACTACTGTTGAACCTAATCTCTTTGGATCTTGCAAACCAAGTATGCCACCATCAACAATTAAATCTAAATGTGACCACATGTCCTTAAATTCCTATTACAATATACATTTATTATTTGCATCATTATGAAACATATCACAAACAAAAATAAAATAAAGGTTTATACTGATTCCATTTGTCAACTGGGCTTCACTCAAAAGTAAAATAAGTAATAAGTATTTCGTTACTGCCATATATTTACAATGAAGTACACCAAGGATGTCAAACTCGCAGCCCACAACAAATATTTTTGCGGCCCGGCCAATATATCGGCAAATAATAATATATAATGATAAAATAACATATCGACGAAGAAAGGGACCGTGCACTCAGAACTTGTATGCATCCCCCCGATACCCGAATGTGGCCGAACTCATGGTCAAAAGCAATGCTCAATTAGCAGTGTTTCTTCATTCTTGTGACAAGAATTTTAACATTTTTGAGGAATTACTGGAACTAATATCGATGCCTGGTACTACCACAGGAGAAGATATATTTACTTGTGTTTTTGGACTTCTGCAGAAATACAGTAGCTACAGATGGCGCTCCATCAATGACCGGGAAAAACAAGGGCTTCGTAGCATTACTAAGAAAAAAACTTAGTGAAATTCATGGTTCAAACATTCATCATATGCATTGTATTATACATCAAGAAGTTCTATGCACGAAAGTAATAAATATGGAGAATGTTTTGTCATATATAAAAAAAATTATAAATTTTATAAGATCTCGAGCTTTAAATCAGCATCAATTCACTGCTTTCTTAAGTGAGTTAGATAGTGAATATTCAGGTTTGTCCTACTATACCGAGGTACGTTGGTTATCTTGCTCCAAGATTCTCAACATGTTTGACATAATTAAAGCATTCAAATGTCAACTAGTTCTTTGGGAAAAACAACTTTAAAATGAAGATTTGACGCACTTCCCGACGTGCAGCATGAACAAATCAAGTTTAGATGATACTTGTTCGTATCAAAAATACGCAGAAAAATTGCAAATTTAAGAACTGAATTTGAAACGAGGTTTAATGATTTTAGTTCCCTCGAAGACATTTTTTTTTTGTTTTTGTTTTTGTTTTTGTTTTCTTCGATTTTTCTCAATAAGTATTGACTCAGTACCCAGCCATATGCAAATGGAGGTGATCGAGATTCAATGCAACTCAAATTTGAAAGCAAAATTCATTGAAGTGGGCGTGCCTGAATTTTACAAATATTTACCAGCCAGGTTTGAAAATACTCGAAAATTCGCATATGAAATTATTTCCATGTTTGGTAGCACTTATCGGTGCGAGCAGTTATTTTCAGTCATGAAAGGTAATAAGTCTCCTATTAAAAACCGTATTAATGATGCTCACCTTGGGTCCAGCGTTGAAAGTTATCACTGCAAACAAAATTTCTCCCGAAATAGGAAAGATAATAGCAGAGAAGAGATGTCAAGTATCAGGACATAAACATTAAATTTTTCTTGTTCTTTTCTATATAAATATATATATATATATGTTTATTATTGTATTATTCGAAATAAATCTACGTTTCTATGAATATTGATTTTTTTTTTTTTTTTTTTTGGCCTGCCTAAAGTTAAACCTTGTTTGTTTGGCCCAAGTGTACCTATGAGTTTGACATCCCTGAAGTACACAGTTATAACTGAATATCAGAAATGAAAACTTCAATATAAAGTCTTCCTATCAGAATGAATGTGCAATAGATGCCACCTAATGGGATCATGTTCATCCACTGCTATTTTGATAACATTAGTCAACAATTAAACAATAAGAAAAAATACCCTTCACACCAATAACGGAATTTAACTAATTTAATATCAATAATAACAAAATGCATAAAAATAAGTACTTTCACAGAATTTTAATTAGGATTTATACAGAATAATAGGACTTTTACACAATAATAATGAAATGTTCAGAATGTATTTAACCCAAAAGTATGTAATGTTCATAACATTTCTGAAAATTACATTCATGTGCAAAATTAAGAGAATTTGCAAATTATGTTTATTTTTATCAAATGTATTGAACCAAAGGTACTAACCATGCTGCCAAATGTATAATTATATATATATTCAGAGTTGAATACGTAAGTTTACACATGCTTGTCTGCGAAGCTACGATTGTGGAGGGGATATAAGCACACTAAGGGTTTTCACCGATTTGTGCATTTGTATGCCTTCATCACATTCACTGTCTTTCTCACAAGAGTTGTGTTAATTTTATCAGTTATAAGATAAAATGAATAGCCACGAACATATACAGAATTGTTTGCAGATTGTAGGTACAACAATCATAGGTGCAAGTGGTTATACAGCTTAATGTAATGCCCAATGTTGTCTGCAGTTTGTGGAAATATTTTTAGGATACTGGATCCATACTGAGATCTGGACAAGGTTGAGTGAGATCTACAACAATAAATGATGATCATTTACTTGGCACACAGTGTGGTGACACAGGACTGCTTCACAGCTCTCGAGTGAGCTGTATGCTGATACTGCAAATCACATTTATAGTCTACAGTTGTTCGAAGGCTTCATGAGATAAGGTTGTATATCAGAAGACCTGCTCTTTGTGTTTCACTCACAGCAGCACACAAAATACAGCACATTTAGCATGGTGCAGACAGCATGCACCTTGGATCAGACTTCAGGGAAGCACCATGCTTTTACAGATGAATTGATATTCAGCCTGGACAATGATTCTTGGCATATCTTTATCTGGAAAGAGCCTGGAACATGATACCACCTCTTCCTCATTCAGGAAAAGGATCACTATGGTGGTGGAATTGTAATGGTTCGAGTAAGCATTAGATTAGACAGCCACACCCCCTGCATGTGTTTGACAAAGGCTCCCTGACTGCTATAAGTACAGACAGGTGATCTTAGGGCCCAATAATCAACTTTTCAGATTTGAAGTTGGCCCTGGGTTCCTGTTAATGGATGACAACACTCATCCACATGGGACTCAGCTGCATGACGATTACCTGGAAAATAAGGATAGCCACTGCATGGACTGTCCAGCCAGGTCTCCTGACCTTAATCTTGTACAGCATGTCTGAAACACTCTTGAGTGGGTAATTTTAATTCACCATTTCCCTACAAGAACCATCCTGAAGTTGAAAACAGCCTTGCTGCAGGAATGAGATCAACTGCCACAGGAACTCCTCAACTGTGTCCTATCCAGTCTGTCAACACACTGTGCAACCTGTCTGGCTATGTGGGCATTATATCCCATATTAGGATAATTTTGAATTCATTATCACAATGCGGATTTTGGACATTCCTGCACAAGCTTTACTGATAATTATGCATACATAAAATGACTTTTAAATGGTATATCTCTTTCTCTGTTGTAAATTATATTCAAACCGAATTTTATCAAAATCTGTCCATTAGTTTTTCAGAAATTTAACATAATGTGCAAATTCTCTTAATTTTGCACATGAGTGTATTTCATCCCTAATTTTCATACTAAGAGGGCATTTCTCATTCACTCGAAAAAAACACACGAATGTAAAATTTTAAAGTAGGCAAAAAAGGAACCTTAGTTTAGCATAGATTATTTCCCTCTCCCAAAACAGGGAAAAAATGGTACAGAAATTTTTCTGCTCCTTAAAATTTAGGGACCAGCATCTGGTCACCCTCAAAAACGATAAAGTTCTTCAAAATTTATGCCAGACTAAGGTTGCTTTTTTTGTTTAATTTGACCAAAATCAAAAGCTGTTTGGCAACTTAATCCCTTACTTGGCACTATTTTTCTGACATCTAGCAATTTTTATAACTTATTTTGACTTTATTTGGTGAATTTATTCAGTTTAAAAAATAATTTTTTAATGCTTTGTTAATATTAAGGGGTATCAGAAACCCCTATACTGACAATGTTAAATTGGCCATTTTCAATGTACCTTTTCTCAAAATCTGGTGTAGATACAAGCTTGAATTTTTTCTGTAATTAAAGTATACCTATCTGATTATACTGAAATAAGCCTTTGAAAAATTTTGAATTTTAGAGTAAATTACAGAAAATTTTGTTAGGCATAGTAAAATATAGCACTTTTCTCACACAAAAAAATTAAAATTTTTTTTCTAAGTTTATTACAAAAAGCTCATTTCAGTAAATATTAGGGAACCTAATAAATAAGACATAAAAAGTTTAGATACCTGTGAGCAGTAGTTCCTGAGAAAAGGTACATCGAGTATAAAAAAAAAATCACGTTTGGAGAAAAACGCGTTTTTATGTAAAAATCCTCATTGATCAAAGCAGTAGATGACAAATTAAAACTAGATTTTTTTTTACAGTTCTAACATTCATAGAGATTAAAGAATGGTATTTTTAGAAAGATAAAAGTGTAGAGAATTTGAAAATGCAAAAATCCGAAATCACAATTTTTTGAAGATTTTGGGGTTCCAACACCCCTTAACTGAATTGTTGTTCACAACAAGTGAATTTTTTCCATGTTTTCATATACAAGCAGACAGGACTTGAGGAATTTGGTAATAACATCTGAATGATAATATAAACTGTGATCACATTAAGCATCTACTGTAAAAACATTTTATTTAATTCAGTGAATAAAAACAGATCGTAATTCACATTATTATAATTTACGCTATAGATGTGGAACACAAAATCAACTGTCTTCTGGATAATTTGTTACGAAAACTAACTAATTCTTTTTTTTTTTTTTTTTTTTAATTTCTGTTTTTAATTCCTACTAACACTCTGTTCTGGATGACACAATTATAAAAGCATACCACATCTTTCAAAAATAAGTAAAAAACAAAACAAAAGGAACTATGTAACATACATATTATTATTATTAGAAGTTCATTGCTTGCTGGAAACTCATTGCACAGTGTTTAAAATATCACCACTGCAGATGAACTACCTTGTCATTTCTCTTCATTGTATTATTACTTCTTTTAACATTATTTTATTTTAAAGGAGAATTCATTTATGAAAAATGTTTTAAAGGGAACAATACAAAAAAAGGGGGGAAGAAAATAACATTTTCTTATTATTCTGTTACATCAATCTTACATCTTT